ACTTGAAATTAATATTATCAATTCTTTAAAACATTTAGTTTTACTATCTGAATTGTATTGAGTAATATTTTGTGATAGAAATTATGTTTTAAAACAAAATTTAAATACACATAAATTTTAACAAAATTTTTTATATTTAAGGTCTTTAAAATTTTATTTCTTGTATATTTAAATCTTAATATTATTTATAAATCTCTAACTTACAACTTAAAAAATTTATTTTTAGTACATACATTTCAAATAGCACTTCGCCCCGCCTAAGATCATTTTCTGGCTCCTTGCCTCCCTCCCTGATCTCGGATATGTCAATTCCCCAAACAGATACTTTTTTACCTCCTTCTTTCGTGGAGTCGTTCATCTTTTCTTCTTCTTCTTCTTCATTTTTTTTTTTTTAGAAGTTAACATAGAATATTTAAGCATTTACCATGGAGGAAGGTGCTAGAGGCAAAATACAAGCTTACTCTAAAAATGAGTGGGAAGGGGGAGAATGGGGAGTTAGGTGCTCACCATGGTGGAGAGATTTATGGAGTCTAGATAGGAATTTTGAACCTAGGAGAAACTGGGTGAAAGAAGGAATGTTAAAATCAGTAGGGGAAGGAAGTGATACTCTATTTTGGTACAATGCTTGGGCTGGGGAGATTCCACTTAAGGAGAAATACAATAGGTTATTTAGAATTTCTTTAGATTGAGAGGCTGTCATTGCAAATATGGGTAGTTGGAATCAAGGGAAGTGGGAATGGGAATGGAGGTGGAGGTGAAACCTTTTTGTTTGGGAAAATGAACTTTTGCAAGAATTAATCAACGAACTATAGGGAATCTCACTGAAAAAAGGACAGCAAAACACATGGATGTGAAAACACAGACGAGAGGGCAAGTACTCAGTGTAGACAACATACAAATACTTAAACCAACAACATACTATAGGTTTTGGCCAAAAATATGATCTGGTATGGAATAAAAATGCACCTCTCAAAGTGACTGCGTTTGTGTGGAATCTATTGCAAAATAGAACCCCAACAAAAGACAACTTGATGAAGCGAGGAATGAACGGCCAAGGCAATGACAAATGTGTGCTGTGTGATCTAGAAGCAGAAAGCGTGGAGCATCTTTTCTTCAAATTCAACGTATCATGGAGCATTTGGGCATCATGTTATGATTGGTGGGATCTCAAAGTAGCTACTCACGGTAAAGGATGGCCACATCTTGAGCAATATATTGGCATGATATCCACAGGTCTTGAAAAGGAAATGTGGACAGTTGTTTGGTTTGCAACTATGTGGTCTATTTGGCTTTGGCAAAACCAGAAAAGATTTAAAGATGGAGCCAACAATAAAGAGCAGGTTGTCGAGCTAATAAAGTTCAGATCATTTTACTGGTGCAAAATAGCATTATGCTTAGACCTTGTGCAAGACAAATGGCGTTCAAAACCAAAGGAAGGCTACATGAGAGTGCAACAACGAGTTTGAGATTATTTAGCACACAATGGATATCATGGAAGAAGGTTTGACACTGGTAGAGGTATGATGGATCCATACCCCTAAAGGCAGGTAAATGCTTTGAAAAACTTGTGATTAACTACTTTTTGTTGTTGTAGGCCCCGGTCATATTTTTGGGAGCTTTTGCTATGAATGGAACTTTATGTATTAGTAATGTAATGGGTTTAGAGTACTCTATTAATAATATATTTATTTTGTTGATAAAAAAAATATTATTAAAAGATAGATATAATTGTTATCATTTCTTAAATAGTTAATATTATATTTTTTAATATAATTATTTATTATATTTTTATATTATATTTTTTAAAAATATTATATTTTTTAATTTTTAATAAATTAAAAATATAATAATCAATTAAAATAAAAAAGTGTGACATTAATAATTAAGAGTATAACAATAATATTACCTTAAAAAACAGAGAAAGAAGAGGTTGATGCTTGACTTCACATTTATACCTAAAATTTAAGTGCTCCATTAAAAGTAAAACAACCCAAGTCAAAGAACTTGGGAGTTCTACTTCCACTTATAATTTGAACATACACACATTCTCCTGTAATTATCTCTGTTCATCAAAAAGGAAAAAAAAAAAAAAAAATTCTTACTGGGTCGGCAAAATAGCTAGTGTTTTCTTATGGGAATGGAATCTCATGTACACATGATACAGTGGAACAAATAACCAATCCACCATCCTGAAATGGTTCAAGTGTAATCCTAATTTAGTGGTTCAGGAGCAAGCAAAAAAATTCTGGTAATGAGGGTGAGTTTGAAATATGAAACACCGAAATAGTAGACTTTTGGAAATGACATAAAAAACGATATTTCTAAATTGACCAGTGAGTGGACTAGAAAGTCCAATATATTAATCGAATCGGGAGGATTTAATATGGTCCATTACACACTCCATTTTCTGAAGACATTATGAAATATGGTAGGTGACTCGATTGAAGTTGATATTTTTGACAGTTTCAGACGTTTGAAAACGAAACTCTGGATTACTCAGTTTGTCTTCTTTATTTTTTATTTTTTATTTTTCTGTGTTTTTGCTTTACCGTCTAACTTATGGCGCACATGTTGGGGGAGAAATCGTTCCATTATTTGGAGATTGCGCATTAAGCGGCGGTAATCTCTAGTCGTTGTAATTGGATGAAGCGTTCAAAGATTAAGAAATAAGAGGAATGATGTATGCACCACGTTTAGTTTAAGTTATATAACACAACCCGTTGCAGGGTTTAGGGGAATGATGTAGATGCATGCGACATATGATGACTTTATTTGATAATATTTAACGTAAATTTTTTTACACAATAATTTAATTAAAAATATAAATTTTTAATTTTTAAAATTTTGATATATATTGCATCAAATCTAAATGCATTGATTATTTTTATCAAAACTAACTTAGGTATGTTCGTAATTAGAATTTAATCACAATAACTAAGAACTTATTTAGCTTAATTGTAACCTTTTGAGAAGCAGTTTTTGAATAGAGATTTTGCAAAATTACCCAATCAAAAATTCATAGAAATAATCATAGTTAGAAATATCAAATTTA